GCCATACTCTCATCCATTCTGTCTGCCACCATATGTTAAGATCCCTTCAGACCAACTTTGTTGACCTAGTTTCATCATATTTCTAATCATCTGTTAGTTACATTGCCACAGCAATGTAACTAACTGGATAAGTATGCCCCATAATACAATGTGTGTTTATGTTAGTGTGGTCTAAGGCGTTAGGGTCGGAGGTTTCTTTCGCCAAGTTGGGTCTGCTTAATCTGTTTTTCTCGTCCTTCTTTTATTTGAATATGTAAAAATGTAATTTTGCTTTTAGTTTTGTATGGGTGTGAAGCTTGGTCTCTGACATTTAAGGGAGGAACAGACCAAGTGTGCTTCAGATTTGAATGCTGAATAAAATATTTTGACTTTAGTGGGCTGAAACGGTAGCAGAAAACAGCATGATGAGATCCATGCTTCTATGCTTTACCAAAAATAATTAGAATGAAACTAAGGAGGACGAAATGGGCAATGAATATAGCATGCATAAGAGCATAGAGGAATGGATACAGGGGTTTGGCAGGAAATCCAAAAGAAGAGATCAAATGAAAAACAAGATGTAGGTGAGAGGGCAACAAGAAAATGAATCTTAGAGAAATAGGATGGAGTGGTTTGAACTGGATTCATATGGCTCAAAGCAGGGACCACTGGAAGGCTATTGTTAACATGATAATAAACATTTGGATTCCATAAAGTGTTGGGAAATTTTTGAGTAGATGAGCAACTGGCGGCTTCTCAAGCAAGACTCAGCTGCATGGAGTAAGTTGGTTTGTTGACTTTACTTGTCTACTTTCTTTGGTCCTAATGTTACTTTTCTCAACATGTAATCTGGAAGTTCCCTTCTCCGCAGTGTCTAGAAAACTCACCGTAATAAGCAAATTACGCATAATATTGTGATTTCTCCATTAAAGAATTGAATAATTTGTGTGGCTTCTCTGATTTGTCATGTAACTTGTTCTGTGTTCCTGACCTGGGCCATAAGAAACCAAGAGATGTTGCGATGTACTTGTATGAGCTACATAATGGCTACATGATTCACAGAGAACTCTTGTTTAATGAAGCAAATGCTTCTGCTCATATTCCTCTGAAGTTTGGAGTCTTGAGGTGCAGCAAATGCCAGAATGGATCATTCGCCAGTGTAAGAAGCCTTGTTCCCACAATCAGAAGACACGACAGTCTAATATATTCGTCCACCTGTAACATAACCTATTCTGGTTATCAGTGTCATTGGTGTATCAAATTCTATTACTAGTAATGCTATTTTATCAAACAAATTAAACATTAATTGCACCATGACCTGAACTATATTAAAATAATAAACACAGAAACTCTATTACTCACAGAACTTTATCATAATAGCAGCCAAGAGAACAAATAAGTTTTTCTAAGATTTTTGAAAGAGTGGTGTACAATAGGATAAAGCAACACATACATATAAACAATTTAATGTCTTTTGCACAGTTTGGATTTAGAGAAAACAGTAACATAGAAATGGCAATATATATATTAACTAATCATATTTTAGAAACATTGGAAAGATGCAATCATTCATTGGGAATTTTTTGTGATTTGACAAAAGCATTTGACTGTGTGAGTCATGATATTCTTTTGAGTAAATTAGCAACATACGGCATTGGTGGTAAAATAAAAATATGATTGAAGTCCTATCTGGACCGATTTCTTCATATTCTTTGCTTCCTTCACTTTACAGACAACAATGCAGGAATTGACAGACAAGCCGACAATTATGACCGACTATGGTAAATTCGGACTATTTTTGACACTCTAAATGACGGATATGAAAAATATTATAATCCTTCGGAGCATCTGGCTGTTGACGAAATAATTGTAAAATTCAAAGGGAGGGTTATTTTCAGACAATACATTCCTAAGAAACACAAACGTTTCGGAATCAAAATCTTCAAGCTCTGTGATTCAGCAGGCTATACATACGACATGAAGGTTTACTTAGGTAAAGACAGAACACGCGCTGACCAAGAAGTGACTGCGACGCATGCAACGGTCAGGGACCTCTGCAAAAGAGTAGAGGGGGTTGGGCACAAACTGTACATGGACAATTTCTTTTCATCGCCAGACTTGTTCGACGAACTAATGACGAAAAAAATAAGCTGTTGCGGAACAGTCAGACCAAATCGGAAGGGCCTACCACAAGACATACGCAACAGACAACTTCGATTGAAGAAAGGAGACATACGGGTTAGGGTGAGGGGTGACATGACAGTATTAGTTTGGAAAGACAAACGAGATGTATATATGTTGACTAATATGCACGCTCCTCCAGCAGAAGGCAATTTCTGTGATGAACACAGAAATGCGATAAAGCCTGCAATTGTTGCGGATTACAACATGCACATGGGATATGTTGACAAAGCGGACAGGATGACAAACAGTTATTCCATCAGCCGTCGGACTTGGAAATGGACGAAGAAACTATTCTTCCATTTACTAGATCTGACGATTCTGAACAGTTTCATTGTGCTGTCATCCTGTGGTGCGAAAATATCACATAGAGACTTTCGTCTAACCCTTGTGCGCAACATGCTGGAGCATGCCGCAACGTGTCGCCCTCGCCCCCAGGGGCCCTTAGGTCGACCTCCTGCTCTTTCATCTACAATATATCGCCTAGAGGAGGCCAGTCGACAACACTGGCCAAACCATTCA